AAATTATTAAACAGATGTGCTGAAAACTCAATGATGTAACGTTGTACCCGCCGGTACAGACATCCCATCTCCACGCTGGAATTTACACAATGATCTCATGGGCGTGACGTTGCTTTAAAATGTCTTTTTAACTGTAAGAACAAATTTGCTTTAAACAAATGCAAAAACAACCAATTTTCACTTTTTAGTGAAATATAAATATATCCTAATAGTGTTCTTAGTAACGTAGGACATATACAGTTGAAGTCAGAATTATTAGCCCCTCTGTTTATTTTTTCCTCATTTTCTGTTTAATGGAGACATTTCTTCAACACATTTCTAAACATAATAGTTTTATTACTGATCTCTAATAACTGATTGATTTTATCTTTGCCATGATGACAGTAAATAATATTTTACTAGATATTTTTAAAACACTTTTATACAGTTTTTTAAAGTGACATTAAAAGGCTTAATTAGGTTAATTAGGTTAACTAGGCAGATTAGGGTAATTAGGAAAGTTATTGTATAACGATGGTTTGCTCTGTAGGCTATGGAAAAATATATAGCTTAAAAGGACTAATGATTTTGTCCCAAAAATGTTTTTAAAAAAATTAAAACTGCTTTTATTCTAGCCAAAATAAAACAAATAAGACTCTCTCCAGAAGAAAAAAAATATTATAAGACATACTATGAAAATTTTCTTGCCCTGTTTAACATAATTTGGGAAATATTTAAAAAAGAAAAAAATAATTCACCTAATAATTCTGACTTCAACAGTATATGTCTGTCAACATCTCAAAAAATGGGTTTTGATGTTTTGTGACTTAACTTACTATACTTAACATAACTAAATAGTCAACTAGTGAATGAATATTCCAATCAAAAGGAGTCAATTAGTCCAAACTATTATGCACCCATACTAGTCATAAATCCGGAATAAACTTTTATGAATCAAGCTATGGGCACCAGCTTTCAAAAAACAACATTTGTTTTTTAAAAACCACATTAGCACCTGAATTTGATTGAATACAATAACGCACATCTCTTTTCACCATTGACCACCTGTGTTATGTATAAATAAAAAAGGAAATTGTCTTCATCTGTCTTTTCACTATCAAATCAGGTGGTTTCATTGAAAGCACCCTAGAAGCGTCATTCAATGGCACATACACACTACGTACTCAAGTTTCAAAGACATTTTTCGGGGGGCGATAATAGCGCTGCTTCTAAATGCGAGAGGAACAATAGAAGAACTTTAGTCTCACATCATTTATCTCCTGAGTTTCCTGAGACTCTGAAGCCCGGGATCTGCTCCAGACATCTGCCCATTCACATGCTTTTGTATACGTTCCTCTTGCTCACTTTGTTCACATTGAAATATGTGTTTTGACAACTTCACATCTCAGTAGCTTTAGGGATGCGACCACTTCCCCCTCAGCCCTTCTGTGCTCCTGCCTATTTTCTTCCTTTCTTCCAGGTGAGCTGAACTAATCAGTCTTGATTAGTTCCAGACAGCACTAAAGGTCCACCCACTCAGCTGTCAATCAAGCACTGTGAAGAAGAGAGCTTTTAAACAGTTTACATTTAGCTTTAAATTAGGTTTATAAGATTAGTTGAGGAACATGTTGTATAAGTTACATATAGAAAAATGATCTGTAGAGCTATTTGTGGAATGAAAATGTTTTGCAGATATTAAAGTTTATACATAATACCAATATAACTTTCTGCCACAGCAGAACAATGTTTGGTTCCTCAAATGACATTTAAGTTAACAGTTCCTCCAATGACTCATTTTCCTAGTCATTCGAGCACATTATAACTAAATTAACAAATTATTTTCAATATTTAAAGCCTTTTGCGGAATGAAAAGGTTTTGCAGACGGTAAAGTTTCTACATAAAACAATATCAATATAACCTACTGTATACGCCACAGCAGAACAATTTTTGGTTTTTCAAAGAACATTTAAGTGAACAGTTCTTCAAATTACTCATTTACCTAGTTGTTTTAGCACATTATAAATAAAATAACAAATTCATTTATTCATTCATTCATTTTCTTTTCGGCTTAGTCCCTTTATAATCCGGGTTTGCCACAGCGGAATGAACCACCAACTTATCCAGCATATGTTTTACACAGCGGATGCCCTTCCAGCTGCAACCCATCTCTGGGAAACATCCATACACACTCATTCACACACACACTATGGACAATTTAGCCTACCCAATTAACTTGTACTGCATGTCTTTGGACTGTGGGGGAAACCAGAGTACCCAGAAGAAACCCACGCGGGAAGAACATGCAAACACACCGCAATGCCAACTGACCCAGCTAAGGGCTCGAACCAGCGACCTTCTTGCTGTGAGGCGACAGCACTACCTACTGCACCACTGCGTCACCAAAATAACAAATGATTTTCTCTATATAGAGCCTTTTGTCAGAAGGTTTTGCAGATGTCAAAGGTTCTACAACCAATTATAGAACAAAAGAACAAGCATATTTATTATATTCATTTGACATTTCATTTGTTGTCATTTTCATTTGACAAATTCTTTATAATTTTGTGGAATGATTGGATTTTGCTTCCCCAAAAAAATTTAAATGACCAAATTTTATCATATATATTTTTTAAAGTAAGGAACATATAAAATAGGTTTTTACCACTACTAACTTTTTAAAGTCTGGAAAAAGGTTTCTTTGTGGAACTGTCAGTGCCAATATACTGTAGAACATACACTCTAAAAGTAAAAAAAACTACTTATAGTAGTTTCAAAAACTACTTTTTAAAAATGAACTGAATAATCACAATTGTTGAGTTTTTTGGGGACCTAATTGTTTATGCTTAATCCACTTAAATTTATAAAAACTAAAAAGTTAACGTGAACGATTGTGTTGGGAGAAAAGGATTTTTTACAGTGTATATGCACAAGCAAAACTCAAATAGTTTATGTGCAGAGTTCTTAAATAGACTATGTGAAGAAGTATGCTAATCGGACTTTTAATTTGCCAGTAACCTGGGTTAAGTGCTTCCGGTGAACAGTATGCTATTGCAAAATCGGCGCGTTTAAGGTCTGTTTTCTTTAAAAATCAGCGATCTCCACTGGTTGAGTGATATCCGATATACAGTGGTTATTGGATTGTACTAGAAGCTCTGCATTAAATCACTTTGTTCCCCACCATGTTTTTATAATATGAGCATAATTTTACCCCAGTATATTCAATGGAGCTTCTGCGCTAGCCTGCCGATTCTGACAGGCGCATGCGAGTAAACGGCTTTTTGTCTCGTTTTAAGCTTGAACAACTAAATAAATGTCAAAGTCTATTTAACTGATTGTACTTTAATTACATTACAACATCCATGCTGTAAAAGGAACCATAAAAAAAGGGAAAAAAACTCACCATAACAGGTCACCTGAAGTTTATCACTATGGAAACAACATTAGCTAGGCATATACCCTATTAACTTTGTTTTTAGACAGTGTTTAGTTTTATTTTTGTGAAATCAAAATTGAAAGGTTATTTTGCTGTTTATTTTCTTTTTGTTGATGTCAGTTTAATGGCTTCATCCACAATATACTTTACCATGCCACTCTTACTGTTATTTTGCTATGAGGGAATGATGCACAAAAAGGAACCCCCGTCCCCTACATAATATTCAGTTTCGGTTGGAAGTACATCAACATACTTACATAAAAGTCTCTGCAACGTCCGGTTCACATGGACTTTAATACATCTTGTAAACAGGGCTTGTGATACCGTCGTATATGCTAAAAATGTGTGTACTTTAAAAAAACAGAAAATGGAAACAGTTTAACTTCCATATAGGGCGGTACGATCTTGTAAAAAATGACATTGCAATATTTTCACACACAAACATATATATATATATATATATATATATATATATATATATATATATATATATATATATATATATATATATATATATATATATATATATTACAGTTTCAGTGGATGATTTAAATGGCTTGTAAAGATGATACTGTAGGGGAGCATATCTGCATAAAATATAATAAAAAAGTTAAATGCAACAGAGGAAAGATGAAAATAAACAAGGATTTATGATTTTCTGTGGCGTCATACAATATTAAATAAAAACAGAATATTAAATAATCACTGTATAAAAACAATAATAAAACTATACTTTTAATTGAGTAAATAATTATATATTATACAATTAATCTTTAAGCAACAAACATTAAATTTATTGTGCCCAAACGGCTTAAATTTGCTTCAAATTCAAACAGTCAGATCTATAAAAATTCACTCTAAAATCTGAAATTAATCCACTATGTCATTAACTGTCATTAAATGTGTTCAACTAAAATCTCAAGTACATTATTCTTGCGATGTGACTATTGTGGACTCACACATTGCGATATCGATGCTGAAACGATATATTGTGCAGCCCTACTCCCATAGTATTTATTTTCTTTCTATGGCAGTCAGTGCATACCGTGTTTCAACATTTTCAAAATATCTTCCTTTTATGTTCAACTAATAAATGTATGGAGCCACTTTGGGATGAGTAAATGTTTATTTTTTGGTGAACAATCGCTTTGCTCTGCTTTCAGAGATTATTTGTTGCACTTCTTTTTTTTTTTTTTTTTGAGTCATTCATGTTCTTGACTACCTACACTGTTTCCATCGTTGTTTATTCACAATCATTAATTCACACAGTAACCCGTTTCTTAACTGTGCTGAAGCTTCAGATTTTCCACTTTCCAAAGTCTCAATAGCAACAAAAACCAGTCTGAAAGTGTGGGGTTTCTCTCCTCTGAAACTGGCCTCCATTAGGGGAATTCCACCAATTTCAGCATGGGGAGGACATGGATTTTCCACAAAAAAATAGAGACGTTCAGTACGCTCCATTGGGCAGCACAGTTCACTGCCATCGCCCAAAACCGTGAAGCGCAGGCAGCAGCCTTCAAAATCAGAAGCATGTTTAGATTGTGAAAAAAGTCATATGAACTTACTGTTTGTTTCTCTGTTTTGCAGGTGGCCATGGATTTCACATAGACCAAAGTTTGCGCGGACATAAAAGTAAGTGGCGGTTAGGTTTTGAAGCTTCTGAATCTGAATATTTGTTAAAAAAATGTTCCTGCTTTGGCACAAGACTGGAGTTTGTCTGAGAAACCTGGCCATTATTTTTGGCATCCACCAAGGGCTGAATAGGCACGTATGAAGCAAAGAACCAGGAAATACCTGCTGCTAATGTGATGAACATTTGTGGCAGAAATACCCACCTGCCCACTAATACCTATAGGATGTTGACCTTAAAGTAAATGGGTTTCTGTGGTTAGCAGGGCTTTAACTCTTGCAGTGCCAGTCATGAGGTGAACTGGTGAATCATACAACAGTTGCAGGTTAGGGATCAGGACATTTTTCATTGTTTCTCTTTTCTAAGGTTGCATTTATCTGATCGAAAACAAACAAGATGTGTGTGAATGCAAGAGTGTATGGGTGTTTCCCAGTGTTGGGTTGCGGCTAGAAGGACATCTGCTGCATAACACAGATGCTGGATAAGTTGGTGGTTCATTGGCGACCCCTGATTAATAAAGGGACTAAGCCAAAAAAGAAAATGAATGAATCGATTTTCATGTTTATGATGCAATTTCATAATGTTTTCAGTGTCACATGTTTTCTGTCTACAGAAATCCCCATTATTTGCTAATTTTACGTTCCACTATGATCCATTCTTTTGGATCTTTTGGCTTTTTCAGTTTATTCATGACAATTTACATTTCGTCACCTTGGAATTATAAGGTTCTATCTTATAAAACATCCTATAATATAAATAAGTTATTATTTAATAAGAATATGTCAAAAACTCATTTTTGACAAAAATGTCAGATAAAACCTTCTAAATCTAAGGTGACGATTTGTAAAATGTTATTTTTATCAGTATTTTTTTATTATATGCATATTTATAATTGTTTTAATAAAAACAAGTTTAGATTTGGCCACCTGTGGGGTTTTTAAGACAAATACGTCATACGTCAATGGGTCATAAGAACAGGATGTGTGTTTGAATATAGCTAGTTCAATTATTAGTTTGGAAATTAGAGCTGAATTTAGACATAGTTTCAAAACAAATCTTTGCGCTTAACAAACAAAATGAAATATGTTGGCTAATTAATGTCTTTAGCAAAGTGAGCTTCCATGATTTCCTTATCCATGAAAGTAAAACAGTAAAGAGTAAAAATAAGATAAAGAGAAAATAAAGAGGCCGAATGGAGGAGGCTCGTTCTTTATCCTAGCTGCAGATGGTCTGTTTAACTGTTTTCTCGCTAGTGAAGAGTTTAAATTTTCCACGTACAAAGTCCATCATGTAAATAGCAAATGCGCCATGGCTCAACGCAACTGACTCTGACTGGGAATACTGACTGGGAATAGAGTCACACAACCATACTCATTAAGAGAATAAGCACAACCCTGTTAGACCATGTAGCAGAAGGGTATTTGGACACACCCTTAATGTTTTTGTGCTTTTCGCTTTAGACTTTCCACCTAGATATTTTAAAATAGAGCCCTAAATGTTGAAAACACCATTGTTTAACATTTTTGTGGGAACTTTCCCCACTTTTTACTTTTTTATTTCACTTATTTTACGTTTTAGCCTCAACTTTCAGTTATAAACAATTTACGGAAGTTACAAAAAATGGCACTGTATTACAGATTCAACCTAAAATGCTTTCACACTAGCACTTTTGGTCTGCACGCAGGTTCGTTTGACATCAGAGTTCACTTCTGGTATGAATGCAGTCGTACTAAATAACAGAAGTGAACCGCCAACCAAACAAACTATCGTTTTCATGACATTTATTCATGTGTGTGTGTCTTGGTGACAGATGAGACTAAGCCAGGGCAAGCACAGTGATAATGTATGCTTGTCACCTCCAAAAACAGTTTCTGTTGGTTTATGTTCTGAACGTTTCTAATATTTTTGCGGCAGACGGACGCGAGTCACTTTCTGTATGTCCAAAAGCAAAAGATTCAGTAAAGCAGATCAACCGCGATGTGCGTCTATCTTTCCATTTTGGCAAATTGCTTTCGTGACTGTCACCTAGCAACGGCCGTACACGCAACAGCAGCTCGATGACGCAAGCGTACTGGGGTTCAGAAGAAAAAAAGACAGTGTGAACACAAACCAGCCGAGAAGGTGGCAAGGGGAGATAATCGAACTATTAAATCAAGTGTGAAAGCACCCTAAAATATGAAGCAGCCCAACATATTTCAACACTGATGATGATGATGATAATAATAATAATAATAATAACATTCATAATAATAATAATATAATAATAATAATAATAATAATAATAATAATAATACATTTTTCTTGAGCAGCAGATCATGTGACACTGAAGGCTGGGGTAATGATATTAAAATGAATCTTTTAATCAGATTTTTAAAAAAATCTAAAATAAATGCAGTCTTGGAGAGCAGAAAACGCTTATTTCAGGCGTACTGTAACATGTACATTATTACAATGATTAAACTGCTAGCATTTGAGGTTTGACACATTTCCTTTCCTTTGTTGTGCTGATGTTGTTGTTGTTTGCATCTGTCAGTGTTTGGCATCAAATAATTTCCCTTTTTCCTGTTGCTTTGGCTTCATTTGAAGATTTTTCTTCATTTCCCACAAGTATCTAAATACACATAGTTTCATGTATCAGTAGGAGGTGGGTGTTGTTTTAAGGGCTCATTATTTCAGTAAAGTGATAATGCATGTGTGTGCATAGGAGCGGGTGTTGCTGACAATGGCTCTTTCAGTTGTTCCTTTTGCACGAGCTGTGAACTTCAGGTTTGCATATTGTTTGTTGTGGTGATTGTTTTGCAATCTTTTTTATATTTCCTTTATATTACATTTTGAACACCTGTAAAGTATCACATATACAATGCTAGATTTGAGAAAAACTAATTTCATTCTCTTATTCAGAATATACACTTTTTATTTATTTGTCATATATATGTATATATATATATGTTTTTTATTCAAGATATATATTATGTAATCCTAAATGTGTTCACGTTATATATTTAGAGACAATATTTTTAAAATTTGAATGTATTTTTTTATTTATAAGATTTTGGTAGTATTGATTTATTTTAATGTGTGTGTGTGTGTGTGTGTGTGTGTGTGTGTGTGTGTGTGTGTGTGTGTGTGTGTGTGTATTCTATTTTTTCAGTTTTACATTTATTTTATGTTTAATAATTGGGGCTGGATGAATGCATTCACTTATTATTTACAACTTAATGTTATTACATAGTATTTATATTGTTTCCCAGTGATGGGTTGCAGCTTAACTTCTTTAAAACAGTTGAGGCATAATAATTGTATTTATTATTTTATTTTTAAAGACAATATTTATTTATTTATTTGTTTGTTTATTTATTTTTAGGTTTGATTGTAGTAATTAATTATTTTTTAAATCATTTATAAAAAAACAAATTATTTTATTATTTATTTAAAAATTATAATATGAAAATATTGAGTTTTATTTATTAAATTTTTTATAGATATATTTATTTTAATATTAATTGAATAATTTAATTGATTTAATATTATTAATATATATATATATATATATATATATATATATATATATATATATATATATATATATATATATATATATATATATATATATATATATTATATTATATTATATTATATTATATTTGGTTTTTTGTTGGTTTTCAAAGTTATGGTATATGGTTATGGTTTAATAAATTTAATTTTTTTTGTCAAAATATATTTAATGAAATTATTTATATTTGTATAATTTATCATTTTTTCCTGATAGCTATTTAGTTTTTTTCATAAAATAGCACAATCAGATTATTTAGCACTTATTTTCAAATGCAATATTTAAACTATATTTATTTATTTATTTTTTGTAAATAATAAGTGAAAGTGTTTCATTTTAAAGTGTTTGTTTTTGTTTATGAAAACACAGGGAACCCATTTCCCCTTTTTCTATTTCTTTTTTATTTGACCTTTAGAGTCTGTCCTAGACATTGGCCAACCGTCGTACCATTAGAAACAGCGCCAGAGATTCTCGGTATCAAAAATGATCTGATACTTAACCATACTTCGCCACTGAAAGCTGAATTAAAGTTGAATTCCTGTAAATGCTCTCATGAGGGGTTTCCATGCTATTTTAAACCCCATTCATTACTAAAACCTCCTTTCATTTACTCTCATACAGTAATTCTCTGTAAATCCTGAAACGGCAGGCAGTCTGTATAACCTTATGAAATAAATTCAGTATAAACGTAGAGGTAATTACGGACAGTGGAACATATGGCTTAAAACCTCTTGCCAGTTCCTCCGTCTGGATGCCAATGAGAGCAGTATAAACTTGCGCTTGAGCCATAGTCACTTGTTTGGATTGTATTAAAAATGGTGCCACTTTAATCTTTCTATCCAGAAGTTGACATTAAATCTCTTTAGATGGAAGTCTTCAGCTTAACTGCAAGCATAAGTTCATTTTAGAGTACTAAGCTACTTTTTTTCCAAACAAGTAGTGGTTATAGTGTTGGATTGTTGCACACAGCTTCATATCTAAAAATAAGCTTTAAAGTCTGCATGAAACTAAAGTGAATGAGACTTCACACTGAAACTGACGATTAAGTAGGGGGCGGAGCTTTCTTTTTGTGCATCATTCCCTCTTAGCAAACTAATGGTGGTTTCACACCTGCCTTATTTAGTTCGGCTGAATCGCACTAAAGTTAGTTTTCCCTCTTGGGGCAGTTTGTTTGGGCAAGTGTGAATGTAGAAAGTGCACACCAAAAGTGTACCAAAAAAAGTGTACCAAGACCTACTTAAAGAGGTGGTCTCGGTACGCTTTCAAACGAACCATGAAGCAATTCTTTTGTGGTGAGAACATGATCCCAATTAGAACAGACCCAACCTCAAAAACTACTGCCCCTTTTTGGACTAATTCAGCTGCCGTAGTCTTAGGCGCTGTGCATCATGGGATGTGGAGGAAATAAATATCTGTTGACAGCGCTTTACCAACAATATTAAAGAGAGA